GAGGAGGAGGAGGAGGAGGAGGAGGAGGAGGAGGAGGAGGAGGAGGAGGAAGACAACTGTGGGGTCTTTGGTGCTCTCTGAGCTTGGTGGTTTTCTTGCAAATGTTTCATGACCCAACTAGGTAATATCATCAGTGCTAGAAGGGAGTGAGGTTTGTGGAGTAGAGGAGAAAGGGAGGAGGAAGAGGAGGAGGAGGAAGAGCAAAAGGTGGTGATGGTGGAGGAGGAGGGTTTAAGGAGGAGGAGGAGAGGAAGGGGAAGAAGAGAAGGAGGAGAGGAGGAGGAGAAGGAAGAGGAGGAGGACTCTAGGGAACCTTGGTGAACTTGGTGGTTTTCTTGCAGACGTGTCATGACCCAACTAGGGAACATCATCAGTGCTAGAAGGAAGAGGGGTTTGTGGAGTAGAGGAGAAGGAGGAGGAGGGGAGGGGGAGGAAATGGAAGAGGTGGACTCAAGGGTCATCGGTGCTTTCTGAGCTCCTCACCTGGTAGGTGAGCTCCTTGATGCGTCTCTCGCACTTGCGCATGCCCTTGACGTTCTCCACGTTGCGTTTCTGCTCCCCTTCGAGCTCGTTCTCCAGCTCCCGGACTCGGGCCTCCAGTTTCTGAAGCTGCTTCTTGCCGCCCTTCAGGGCCAGCTGCTCCGCCTCATCCAGGCGCATCTGGAGGTCCTTGATGGTCTGCTCCATGTTCTTCTTCATCCTCTCCAGGTGGGCGCTGGTGTCCTGCTCCTTCTTCAGCTCCTCCGCCATCATGGCCGCCTGCCCCATTCAAGTGGACAAGGGAGAAAGACGTCCGTCGGACCTTACTCTTGGCGTTAATGGGGAAGTTAGTCCTAAACTCACGGGCTAATTATTCATGTCAACATTACGGGTCCTCTTTTGACCCAGGATGCCTTTGGTGGACCAATACAAAGGGGAACATGGAGATGAGTCTCATTTCACATAATTGTGAAATGTCCATATTCTAGGCCAGGGGTAGGCAACCTTGGCTCTTTTATGACTCGTGGACTTCAACTCCCAGAATTCCTGAGCCAGCATGAGGGAAACTTTGGCCCCTTCATGACTCGTGGACTTCAACTCCCAGAATTCCTGAGCCCGCATGGTTCCGCTTGGAAACCTCTCCCTTTTTCCTCAGCATGGCTGGCTCAGGAATTCTGGGAGTTGAAGTCCACAAGACATAAAAGAGCCAAGGTGGCCTACCCCTGTTCTAGACCTATAATTGTAATTAAGCCTAGAATTACGGTCATAAGTCACTGTGGTCGTTAAGTGAGCCGAGGGGTCCTTGGTGCTCTCTGAGCTGGGTGGTTTTCTTGCGGACGTTTCATTACCCTAACTAGATAACATCATCGGACAGACAGGCAAGACATCAGAATGTAAACTGACAGCAAACAGCACTCCATGCTAGCACTGATGATGTTACCTAGTTGGGTCATGAAACGTCCGCAAGGAAACCACCCAGCTCAGAGTACGCCAAGGACCCCTCATTTCAACCTACAAATATTCTCCTTCACTGATAGTGAGTCATTATATTCCCAAAAGAAGGAGAGAAGGTAGAAGAATTTTTCTTGGAGGGCCTGGTGGCTCCAGGCCCTCCAAGAAAAATGTAAGACTTGTGGACTTCAACTCCCAGAATTGCCCAGCCAGCCATGGAAGTTCTGGAAGTTGAAGTCCACAAGTCTTAAAGTTGCCAAGCTTTGGAAACCCCTGATTAAGTAATGCGAGAAAGAGTCAAATTGTCATTATGGACCATTCGTGGTCAACCCCCGTCCGTGATTTCGCTCTCACGCACATCCGTGATGGCTTTCTTGGCCTTCTCCTCAGCGTTTCTGCATTCCTGCACAGCTTCTTCCACTTCTGACTGAAGCTGGGTCAGATCAGTCTCCATCTTCTTCTTTTGATTGATGAGGCTGGTGTTCTGGAGAAAAATGGCAATCTCAATTAGTGAGTCAAGCCACAACAGGAGAAATAAAAGAAGATCAAATGACAGGTCCAAACAGTTGGTGTCTTCATGTAGTATGGGACCTATGAAGGTAAAAGATTGCTTGAAACCATCCAGAACCTATTTTATTCCCTCAAAACCTATATTCGGAGCCTATTTTATTCCCTCAGAACCTACATCTGAAATCTACTTTATTCCCTCAGAATCTACATCCAGAACCTACTTTATTCCCTCAGAAGCTAGATCCGGAACCTATTTTGTTTCCTTGGAACCTACATCCGGAACCTATTTTATTCTCTCAGATCCTGTATCCGGAACCTACTTTATTCCCTCAGAACCTATATCCGGAACCTACTTTATTCCCTTAGAACCTGCATATGGAACCTACATTATTCCCTCAGAACCTGCATCTGGAACCTATTTTATTCCCTCAGAACCTGCATCTGGAACCTTCTTTATTCTCTCAGAACCTACATCAGAACCTACTTTATCCCTCAGAACATGTATCTGGAACCTACTTTATTCCCTCAGAACCTACATCCGGAACTTGCTTTGTTCCCTCAGAACCAGTGGTGGGATTCAGCTGGTTTGCACCAGTTTGGCAGAACCGGTAGCTAACTTTTTTGTTGCCCAGGCCCAGAAGCGGCATCCACACAGAGAACCGGTTGTTCACATATTTGAATCCCACCACTGCTCAGAACCTGCATCCAGAACCTACTTTATTCCCTCAGAACCTGCATCTGGAACTTTATTCCCTCAGAACCTGCATTTGCAACCTACTTTATTCCCTCTGAGCCTTCATTTGGAGCCTACTTTATTCCCTCAGAACTTGTATCCAAAACCTACTTTATTCCCTCAGAACCTGCATCTGGAATCTATTCCCTACGTCCAGAACCTGGAGTTAGAGTCCACTCATCTTAAAGTTGCCAAGGTTGAGAAGCACTGCTCCAGTGATCAGCCAATGTGAATCTTTTCCTAAAACTTTCCCTCCTGTCTATGTTTAAAGCACCCTTCACCATCTGTGGTTGTCTGAACAGGCTCTGGATCGCTTCTCCAAGGTCACCTCTGTGGCTCCTACAGAACAAGACTCAAAGAAACATGAGAAGGATCAGATGCTCTCCCTTCACCTGAGAATGGAGGAGCTGGACCCTCTCACTGGCCTCCGTCAGCTCCTGTTCTGCCAGTTTCCGCCCACGCTCCGTCTGCTCCAATACGCAGCGTAGCTCTTCCAGCTCAGCCTGCAGCAGCGTATTGCGCCTCTCCACAATGGCGATGTTCTCCTTCAGGTCCTCGTTGGCTCGAAGGGCATCGTCCAGTTGAATCTGATTGTCCTGGGCCATTCAAAAAACATAGCCTGAAGCAAACATTGAGCCCGGAAAACTATGGATGAGCAAGGAAGATATGAAGGTCTCCATATCTCCTTACCTTGAGGTGGGCGTGAGCGATCTTGAGGTGCTTCTGAACCTCAGCAGCCACCCGGTTCGCTTGGCTAAGCTGGATCTCCATGTCGTTGAGGTCGCCCTCCATCTTCTTCTTGATCCTCAGGGCCTCATTGCGGCTGCGGGTCTCGGCATCCAGGGAAGCTTGAAGCGAGTCCACCATCCTCAGGTGATTCCGTTTGGCCTGCTCCATCTCCTCGTCCTTCTCGGCCAACTTGCGCTCAATTTCGGCCTTGATTTGGTTGAACTCCAGCTGGGCCCGGAGGATCTTTCCTTCCTCATGTTCCAAAGATGCCTGGGGAGTCAAAGAATTATGGATATCAATCAATTAATCAATGTTTCTTATGGTCACAGATCAACAAAGAACTATGGGTAAAATGATGAAGGAGAAAGGAGAAAAAAAATAGTATTGAGATCTGGAAGCTTTCTTAGTTCTAGATTGGTTCTCAAGGAGAGAACCAATCTAGAACTATGGAGAAATTTCCTGACAGTTAGAACAATTAATCAGTGGAACGGCTTGCCTTCAGAAGTTGTGGGTGGTTTTTAAGAAGAGATTGGACAATCGATTTGTCTGAAATGGAATAGGTTTCCCTGCTAGAGAATGGGGTTAGACTTGAAGACCTCCAAGGTCCCTTCCAACTCTGTTATTCTGTTCAGTTAAAATAACCTCAGATTAGAGTTGCTTACTTTCTAATGGTCCAAGGCTTTATGAATTAGCAGCTTCCTTCCTTGCTATTTTTTTTTCTAAAATTCCATTTTAAAAATGGAATCTGGCCTGTGATAGCAGTGTGATACACTTGCAGTATTTTTTTAAAAAGACAATCCTGATTTGAAGTCCTGTTTTCTTTTAAAAGACAACAGAAGCAGAAAACCTGATAGGGAAAAGAACTGTAGAAATCTTTAGCTCTCTTGTGCCTTTAATTAAATGCCTCCTGCTCCAGATTCAGATCTGTTTGGCTCTTTTGTGCCTTTAATTAAATGCCTCCTGCTCCAGATTCTGTTCTGTTCTGTTTAGCTCTTTTGTGCCTTTAATTAAATGCCTCCTGCTCCAGATTCTGTTGTTTAGCTCTGTTGTACCTTTAATTAAATGCCTCCTGCTCCAGATTCTGTTCTGTTTAGCTCTTTTGTACCTTTAATTAAATGCCTCCTGCTCCAGATTGTTCTGTTTAGCTCTTTTGTACCTTTAATTAAATGCCCGCTGCTCCAGATTCTGTTCTGTTTAGCTCTTTTGTACCTTTAATTAAATGCCTCCTGCTCCAGATTCTGTTCTGTTCTGTTTAGCTCTTTTGTGCCTTTAATTAAATGCCTCCTGCTCGATTCTGTTTAGCTCTGTTGTACCTTTAATTAAATGCCTCCTGCTCCAGATTGTTCTGTTCTGTTTAGCTCTTTTGCGCCTTTAATTAAATGCCTCCTGCTCCAGATTCTGTTCTTTTTAGCTCTTTTGCACCTTTAATTAAATGCCCCCTGCTCTAGATACTGTTCTGTTTAGCTCTTTTGTGCCTTTAATTTAAACAATTCTTGTTGAGGGTAGGTGAAATCGGTGAGTAAAGCTTCTTCTCTCTCTGTTCCCACCTGGGAAGGGACGCTTAACTACCGCTTCAGATGCTTTTAAATGGCTTTTATAGTGAAATAGGAGAGGAAATAAGAAAGGGGAAAAAAACCATGGGAGTTTGAGGGAAGGGGAAACTGGGAACCTCACCTCTGCCTCCTCCAGCGCTGCTTGTAAGTCCACTTTCTCGGACTCCAGCTGCTTCCTCACTTTTTCCAACTCGTGCATGCTTTTGGCTCCATGGCTCAGCTGCTCGGTGAGATCCGAAATCTCCTCTGTGGATGGAGGAGAAGAAGGAGATGTGGGAGGAGGACATGGAAAAGAGTGTCCCTCAACATCCGGGCGCCACCAGGCAAGGGGTTTTTGCTGGGCCAACCTCTTCCCCCGCAGCTCAACCTACCTTGTAAGTTCTTGTTCTCTCTTCTTAAAGTCTCCAGGTGTTCCAGAGACTCCTCGTAGGCGTTCTTCAGCTTGAAGAGCTCCGTGCTGAGGGACCGGGACTCCTTCTGGGATGCCTCCAGCTCTGCCTGAGATTCTTCGTTCTTCTGCTTCCATTCCGAGAGGATCTGAGGGGGAGCAGAGGAGGAGGAAGGCAGAAAGAGTCGGTCTCTTCTTTTCCTTTCATCCCATTTCCTTCTCCTTCTTCCCCTTTTCCTTCCCCATCTCCTTTCCTTTCCTCCTCCTCTTCCTCCTCCTCCTCCCTCTCCTCTTCTTCCTCCTCTCCTTTCTTCCTCCTTCTCCTTTTCCCTTTCTCCTTCTCCCCCTCTCCTCCTCCTTCTCCCCTTCCACTTCCCCTCCTCTTTCTTCTCTTCTCCTTCTCTTCCTCCTCCTTCTCCTCTTCCTTTCATCTCCTCTTCCTCTTCCCTTTCTCTTACCCTTCTTCTTCTCTCCTCCCCCTTCTCCTCCTCCTCCCC